GTAATCATAGGCGACTGCTGCTCCGCAGTCCGATCTCATTCCTCCCTCGTGTCCTCCCTGCGGCAGCTGCTCATGCCCGGCACCCTCTCCACAGCCCCCACTGAGGCAGGCGAGGCCACCCAGAGCCAGGCTTTTCTCCAGCGGCTCCCCCGTCCTCCACTGCCTCAGAGCCAAGGGCGCCTGCCAGGGAACGCGGGGCTCTGCCTTTTCCCACCTGCCCAGCACCTGTCCTGGCCCTCTGACTCCGCCCACCAGCGAGCCCTGAGCTCCTGGTCCCTGCAGTCCTCTCTCTGAGTGGCTCGTGCATGCCACACCTGCTAGGCAAGCCCTTTGTGCTAGGCAAGCCCTTTGTGGGGCTGTTCCCTCTTTTGGAAATTCCTCTTTTGGTTTCTAGCCTCTCATCCTATCCCTGCAAACCCTCCTTGTAACTTTTGGTGGCCCTTTCCTCTTTTATTCTGGAATTCTCTGTCCATGGTAGCTGCTGCCTTGGGCAGATAACAGAGCAGGCCACTTACTTCCGTAGTTACTTCAGGTTGTCAGGGCGTGGTGGGTGGGTGGGCATTCTCAGCCCAGCATCCACGAGGATTGCTCTCCCTCCTCCCCGTGTCCTCCCCTCTGTCGCACTTGTCGCTCAATAAGTGCCCGTTGGTTGACTGTGTCATGACCGATCTTGCAATCACCTGGGCTCGAAGGGCTGGTGGCCCATGACTCTGCCTCAGCCCTCTCCTTCCATGCTGCACTGCAGCCTCCCTCCGCCCGTCCTCGCTCTGCTGGTCGGTCTCCTGCACCTGCGCCCTCACTCCTGCCGCCTCGACGCATCCCTCCCTCACGTCACCACTGGCACCTTGGCAATCGCAGGGACTCCTGTGGGGACACAGTTCTTCATGGGGGAAGATACAGCTGCTGTTACATGAAAGTTTTGGGGGAGGAATGGGTATTTGGGGGAAATAGTAGGAGCACATTCCATTCAAGTTGTATTTCTACCGGAGTTGGCTTATGAAAGACAGCTGAGCCTGTTTAATAGAGCTTGTCATGTTAACCTCCGGAGTGTGTGTGTTTAAATTTTGAAAGTTATATAAGCCCAAGGTTGTTTTCTCTGTTGTGCTAGTTAGTATATAGGCGTGTGAGGACGTGGTGTCATGGTGAGTATGTGCGAGTAGGGATTGCTTGTTTAATTTGAACCTGGTGACACAAAGCAAGAAGTCAGTGGAACAGTTGCAAAGCAGTGTACATTATAGCTTGTAGACCCTCTGGGTGTTAGTTTAGCTTTCTTGGTCATAAAAAATAAAAATTAAAAACTGTTCAGAGAAAACAGAACTGCTGGATAATACGTCTATTTCCTGGATGGTCGCCGTGCTGGCCCCCAGGCTAAGCGTGGGCTTCACCGGGAATGGTGATGGTGGGTGCCGGTCATCCGGTCATCCGCTCTGGAACTGTCCTGGGCCCAGCCGCCTTCCCCAGGCCCCGGGGCTGGGCGGACTGTGGGCCAGGCGTCCTCGCGTCTGCTTCTAATCAGTAGAATCAGGACACATCCACCTCAGGATTCCTTTTAGAAAGAAAAGCTTTTTAAACAAGTTGAGAAGAGAAAACGTGTAGAGAAAGCGCATTGTAAAGGTCCTGCTGAGACTTGGAGAGGACAGGTGCTCTGTCTAGCGCCCTGCACCCAGGCCTGCATCAGGCCTTGTGGTTTTGCAAGTTTCACAGATAAGGAGAGAAAATCTTACGTTAAATACTCAATGAAGAGGAACTTTCATTGTAATTATGCTGAAGACCTGGTTACTTTTTTTTTAAAGCTCCCCTTTGCTCCCTGTCAGTTATTCCCACTCACTGCTGTGAGTGTTCCTGACTTTTCTTTCCCCGTCGCCTTGTCTCTGCCCCTCTCTGCAGCTGTCAGCTTGTTCTCTGTGTGTGGGTATGTTTCTGTTTTGCTTATTTATTCACTGAGCATAGTACCCTCTAGGCCAGTGATGGCGAACCTTTTGAGCTCGGCGTGTCAGCATTTTGAAAAACCCTAACTTAACTCTGGTGCCGTGTCACATATAGAAATTTTTTGATATTTGCAACCATAGTAAAACAAAAATATCAAATATATTTTTGATATTTATTTTATATATTTAAATGCCATTTAACAAAGAAAAATCAACCAAAAAAATGAGTTCGCGTGTCATGTCACCTCTGGCATGCGTGTCATAGGTTCGCCATCACTGCTCTAGGTCCATCTGTGCTCTTGCAAATGGCAAGGTTCCATTCTTCTCCAAGGCTGAGTAATAGTTTATTGGACGTGCCTGACATCTTTATCCACTCATCTGTTGATGGGCACTTGGGTTGTTTCCATATTTTCGCCATCCTCCTATATAATAAAAGGCTAATATGCAAATTGTCCCCTCGGGAGTTCGACCGCTTGCTCTGATGTGCGCTGACCACCAGGGGGTGGCATGGAACGAAGGAAGGCCCCAATTGACTCTGATTGCCGGCCAGCCCTAGGGACCCTACCCATGCACGCATTTTGTGCACCAGGCCTCTAGTTGTAAGTAATGCTGTGGTGAACATAGGGGTGCATATATTGTTTTGAATGAGTGTATTTGGTTCTTTTTGGATAAATACTGAGAAGTGGAATTGCTGAGGCATATGGCAGCTCTATTTTTCATTTTTTGAGGAATCTCTATACTGTTTTCCATAGTGGCTGCACCAATTTGCAATCCCAACAACAGTGAATGAGGGTTCCCTTTTCTCCACATCGTTGCCCGTGGCTATTTCTAAATACAGATGCAACCTGTGTGTTTAAGGTCTTTAAAAAACCCAAAACTATATACAGTCTAAAAAAAATAGTCTTCTACCCACATGCTCCAGGCCATGGTCCTCATCGTAGAATTCTGTTAGGATGTGTGCAACTGTATCCTGCCAGTAGGCCACGTTCCTTAAAAATAACCCACCCAGACGAGGAAGCAGGTGTGTGCTCGTTCTGCCAGTCACGTGGCTGCTAGACTGTGGGTCCGTGGCGGGGCATTCACGAGGGGTGTCTGCGCTCCTGGCCACCCCCAGGGGGCTGACCCCGTAGAGAGAAGGCAGGTGATCCGGGATGGGAGGGGCCCAGCGGGGACGCTGTTGCCGACCCCACCCCCACAGTGAGTCTCTAGTGTGGGCAGAGAGACAGCGAGTGTGGAAGGGGTGGGTGCAGGAGCAGGAGGCACAGGTGGGCGCAGCTTTCAGCTGGCACAGGTGTGCTGTGGAGGGGGCGCAGCCGCCTGGGGAGACAACGTGCGCCTGGTTCCAGGTGAGCGGGAGGCCGGCTGCTGCAGCTGGAGCACAGGTGACCCGTGTCCAGAGCCTGTGGCAGGGGACCCTTGTCCAGGACGCCCTGGGGGGTTGCAGACGGACACTGACGCCCCTGATGCCTTGCAGACGGCGTGTTTCCGGGAGGAGCGCGACGTGCTGGTGAACGGGGACTGCCAGTGGATCACCACCCTGCACTACGCCTTCCAGGACGAGAATTACCTGGTACGTGGTCGGCCGCGGGTTCTGACGCCTTCGTGCTGTCACTAAAAACCGAGAAGACCCCTGAAAACCAGCCTTTTATAGGAATCTGACTCCATGAAACTAGGGTTTGTCTTACGTTGTCATTGGCAGGTGGGTTTTTAAATAGACTGTTCTGTCCCTGTTCTTCTCCAATCACTACGGAGCCTGGTTATTTTGTCCTCTGGGTTTATTACATTTAAATAAGGGGGGGGGGGCGGTAAAACATTTCTGTTTGGAAGAAGAATAGGAAGCTGCTGCAGGGCTTTAAGAATTGAAAAGGCTCCTATTTGTGTGGGCAGAGGGGCAGCTCCTGACTCCTGGGCGCTGCGTGGGTTTCTCGGTCCTGTCCTGTGACCCAGCGAGCTTGGCCTTCACAGTTCCCATCACTTTCTAAGGCAGTGCCTGGGCACAGAGGCGGGGCCTGTGCCGGGCCGGCCTGGCCGTGTGGCGGGCGGTGCGGGCGCCCTGGCTCTGCGGACAGCGCAGTCCTGGCACTCGGGGCCATCCCCTCGGGAAGCCTTGCTCCCGCCTTGTCACCGCCCCATGGACTCTCCAGTCCGTTTCCTGTTTGATGGGAAGTGCAGGAGGTTCCTGAGGTGGGTACGGGCCCAGAGGGCACTGCGTGTTTTGTCTGAGAAGTTTTCCTGAAAGCAGCGCAGCGTTGGGCTCTGAAACGCTAGGCATGACCCCCTTTCTCTAAGCTGGCCCGGCCTTCCAGCCAAGGAGCCGTCTTGAGGTTGGAGGAGCCCGGTTAGAAGCGCAGCGAAAATTAAGGAGAGAAGGAAAGCGAGGGCTCTGGCGCCTTCTAGGATGTGAACACGCCGCTGCTGTGCTCAGGCTGGGCAGGCTGCCCCTGCCGCCCGCTAGCGGGGTCCTTAGGTGAGTCCCCGCCCCAGGACAGTGGCAGGTGCCACTGCAGGGGCTGGGGGAGCGGCAGGCCTGGAAAGCTGGCCCCGGTGCGTGGCCTGGCTGCTGTGAGGCGCCTGGGCCCCCTGCAGCTGCTTCATGTAATTGCTGTCGGCGTCTCATGAAGACTAAACCTGCTCCAGCAGAGACTGCGAGGGTGTGGCCTGATGGCTTCCTTCAGAACCTGTGTCGCGGGACAGGGAATAACTGGTCTCGTTCTTGGGAAACGAGTGTCTGCTTGCGACCTCCTGCGCCCTGGCAGTCCCTTTCCCTCTGGCCTGAGCCCAGGCGCCCGCGGCCACATGGAGCACGCATGCTGCGCGTGCTGGTTTCTTCCAGGTTCCCGCCGACGTGGGGCGGGAGGCGAGGTGGGGATGCTGCCTGCCCTCCTGCTGCTTGCTTATATATATATATATATATATATATATATATATATATATATATATATATATATATATAATTGACTTTTTTACAGAGGAAGGGAGAGGGGTAGAGAGTCAGAAACATTGATGAGAGAGAAACATCGATCAGCTGCCTCCTGCACACCCCCTACTGGGGATGTGCCCGCAACCAAGGTACATGCCCTTGACTGGAATCAAACCTCAAGGAATCGAACCTGGGACTCTTCAGTCCGCAGGTTAACGCTTTATCCACTGAGCCAAACCTGTTAGGGCTTGCTTCCTTTTTTTAATATGTTTGCATTTTTATTATTTTTAGAGCGCTGGGGGGGGGGGGGAGAGGGGTAGAAGCATCTATGAAAGAGAATCATGGATCGGCTGCCTCCTGCACGCACCCTACTGGGGATGGAGCCCGCAGCCCAGGCGTGTGCCCTGACGGGGAATCGAGCTGGTGACCTCCTGGTTCCTGGTTGACGCTCAACCCCTGAGCCACGCCCATGGCATCCTGCTGCTTCCTTTAGGGCCCACAGACCCCGGCTGTTCATGCCTTGCTCTCCCCTCAGCCCCGTGCCTCCATCAGCAGGTGCTGTGGTCTCTTCCTCCGGTGTCGGCCCGTGTCTTCATTCTGTCTGCCCCTGCCCAGCCCGTCACCCTCGCCTCCTGCCTGGACCACATCACGGCTTCCTAGCCCCGGTCCAGTCCTGCTCCTGCCTTCCTCCCTTCCTCCCCGGCCACTCTTCACAGGGCAGGCAGAGGAAGCTCCCTGCACGCTGGAGGCCAGCTTCTCCCTCCTCACTCGCCAGGCCCCGGCCATGGCCACCATTGCCCGTTTCTGCAATGGCCACCTTCGTTCTCTCTCAGCCTCTTTGCACGCGTCCCTCTGTCTGGAATAGGTGGCTTCTGCCTGTCCCTCAGGCCTCACACCTGCCCGATGGGTCGTGTGCAGCAGTGCCCGCCATGCTCTGCCACGCCCTGGGCTGGTCCCTCCACTCGATGCCAGCTCCATGGGGGCGTTCCTGTCACCTGGAGGGGTGCCAGCAAGCTCGTTATGGAGAGAATGAGCGCGCGAACCTCCTTCCGGAGTCTTTGTGGCAGGAATTGAGCCGGGGGTGCGGGAGACAACACAATTCATCAGGCTTCTGCCCTCACAACTCGCTGTTACTGGCAGGGACAGGCCCCAGTGCCGAGAGGCCAGCGGGAGGCCTGGCTGAGGCTGCCCTTGGGGAGGGGTGGGAGGCTCCAGGAAGGCTTCTCAGAGGAGGTGGCAGTGCACGGAGTCTCGAGAGCTGAGTTCCCAGACAGGTGAGGGCTGTGGTAAAGCATCTGTGGGCGAGTGGGACCTCCAGCGCCGCTGCCTTCCTGCCTCGCGGAGCCTGCGGGCGGCGGGCTGAGACCCTGCAGCGTCGGGTTAAGGTGGTGGGCTCTCGCGCCGTCACTTCTGCTGGTGACTGGGCCGCGCTCCTCATTGTGGACGGGGATCATGCTGGTCCCTGTGAGGACCGGTGAGGTGGCAGGGAGTGGGCGTGAGCCCTGGGCCTGCAGCGGTTGCCCGGAGTGTAGCTGTGCTCAGGTTCTCAGTGAATATCCAGTGGCTGTTCTCCAGGCAGCGTGTCTCCTCCCTGTTGGCGAGTTAACTGCTCGGACCAGAGCGTCCATCTCTTAGAAGGAAGCCAGCGTCAAGGAAGGGGTCCTGGAGGCCGGACCGGCAGACCCTCCCGCAGTTCAGAGGCTCGGCAGCCACCCCGGCTCTGGCGTCTGGGGTCTCTGGCGGGTGGGGTACCCCATGGGGAGCCCCTCACCCCAGCCTTCCCAGTGCAGGAGGTGAGCTCTGAGCGGGTCTGGCTCGTCTGGGCCAGGCAGGCACATGCCCAGTTGCTCTGATTTCTACTCAAGCAATCGATTTTCTGGTTCTTCCACAGGGTGAACCCCCAAGTACTTAGCTTTTAGTTTGTTCATGTTACTACTGTCTTTTCTCATAAGAGCTGCTCGTTTTCTGTGATTTAGCTGGTTCCCCTTTTCTCTGGCCCAAGTGTGCTCTTTCTGTGACGTGAGGGCCGGGGGATGATCTGAACCCTAGAACTGTGGCCCATCGTGGTGCTCCCGTGGGGCCGCTGGCTCTCAGAGTGCCGCCTCCTAGAGCCCCCAGTCACTTCCCGTGGGTCCGTGGAGCATCTGCAGGAGCGCATTCCCTGCCGGGAGCACGGCCTAGGTGGCCGCGGGGTTGTGAACGGCGGTGCATGTGCTGAGGGCGGGTCCTGGACCCTGTCCATCACTCTGGGGTCGCGGCTTCTGCGGTGAAGTTAGGCCTTTGCTCGTCAGGCGCAGTGCTGACTGGACGCCGTATTCTGTCCCCTTCCCGATCGCAGTACTTGGTCATGGATTACTACGTGGGCGGTGACCTACTGACCCTGCTCAGTAAGTTTGAAGACAAGCTCCCCGAGGACATGGCGCGGTTCTACATCGGGGAGATGGTGCTGGCCATCGACTCCATCCACCAGCTCCACTACGTGCACAGGTAACCCCTCCAGGTCATGGCGGCCACAGCCCTTGAGCTGATCCCCCTTCGGGGTCCCTGAGGCCTCGACCCCGTCCAGGTGTTCAGCCCGGTCACGCACTTGGTGCTCACGTTGAGCGGCCCGGTGCTGGCACCAGAGGTCCCGGTGTCACTGACGGGAGAGCTGATGTCAGGCAGCCACCTGTCCTCAGCTGACCTGGTCCCCCTCCCCTGCACCCCAGAGCTCCTGTGGGGTCCCCACCCCATGTCTCCTCTCTCTCAGCTCCACTTCACTTTCATGCCGACCCCACAGGGCCCTTGGTCTCGAGCGCCCCGCAAACCCTCACAAAGGGACGTGGGGTGGGAGAGGTGGAGGGCTGTTAGGGGCTTGTTTGTGACGATGGGGCCCGGTTTGTCCGTCACGGAGGACAGCCAGCTCACTGCCCCGCAGAGGCCGGCATGTGGCGCCCTTCTGGCTCTCAGTGCTGCTGGGGGCGTGCTGTGCTCCTTGTACTCAACACCCTCCTTTGCTTTTATTTTATTTTTTTAATATTTTAATATGTTTTTATTGATTTCAGAGAGGAAGGGAGAGGGAGAGAGAGATAGAAACATCAATAATGAGAGAGAATCATGGATCGGCTGCCTCCTGCACGCCCCTACCTGGGATTGAGCCCACAACCCAGGCATGTGCCCTGACCGAGAATCGAACCTGGAACCCTTCAGTCCTCAGGTCAATGCTCTATCCACTGAACCGCACCAGCTAGGACTGCTTTTATTTTTATTAATTCTCACCTGAGGGTATTTTTCCCATTGATTTTTAGAGAGACACATCAATTGGTTGCCTCCCGCACATGCCCTGACTGGGACCAGGAATCAAGCCCGTGACCCTTCAGTTTGAGGGTGGACACTAATCACTGGGCACACTGGGCAGGCCCCTCCTTTGCTTTCAAAGTTTTTGTTCCTTTTCATGCTGTCGGTCATAGAAGCTTATTCTGTCAGTGACGGCGGGTACACAGACAGCAGGTGCGAGCGCTGGTTAGAGAGGCAACTGGCTGCTCTGTACCCAGGCAGGTCACCCCGCGCTCCGACCTCTATAAGTACAGTTTGGGGGTCCTGGTGGTTTGTGAGCCTGCAGTGGGGGGCCACCTGACCCCTCCATGTGCCACTCTCTGTCCCTCACCTGTCTCTGTTCTTCCTGTTCCTTCGCGGCCCCCACTGGTGGGCTGTGCTGGGACCTGATGTGCAGGGTGAGAGGTGTGCCTGCTGCCGCCTCGCCTGGCCAGTCCCCGCAGGAGAGACTCGCCCAGGCGGCCCCAGCTCGCCCGCCGCCCGGGGGGCGTGGACCTTCCGAGTGCGCGTGGGGTGTCAGGTATGTCTTTGTCTCACCAACAGGGACATCAAACCCGACAACGTCCTCCTGGACGCGAACGGGCACATCCGCCTGGCCGACTTCGGGTCGTGTCTGAAGATGAATGATGATGGGACGGTACGTGTCTGTTCTCGGTCCTCGCACGGTAATGTGTGCATTGAAATGCCTCTTAGAGAAGGAGGGAGGGAGGGAGAGCAGCGCTGTCTGAATGGGGGCGTGGATTTCCTTCCCCACCTACGCTGCACTCCGTCAGTGTGGACGCGCACCCCGAGCGCCACCTGACCCCCATCGGCCAGCTGTCCGTGCGGCTCCTGAAGCCGCAGGTGGGGCATGGCCTGGCCCGGGGCAGAGCCAGCGCCCTCCTCATTCCCGCGGACCGGCTCTGGGCTGCTGTCCGCTCTCTTCCAGACCGGCCTTCCTCGGGCGTCAGGCCTCGCTCTCCCAGGGACTGCCCTGCCCTTTCTGGGGCCTTAGCCGCTGGGAGACTGAAGGGCAGGCTGTGATGGGCAGCCTGACCCCCCACAGCAGGTTAGAACTGCTGCTGCCTGGAGCCTGTTTCACCAGCGCCCGGGGCTCTGTACGTGGGCGCATCTGGTCCTGACCACAGTGAGCGGCGACAGCCGTGGGAAGTGGCGCCCCCTTGGGCTGCGACGCCATGGGGGCTGTGGAGGTTTGGGCATTAAGACTGGCGAGCAGGAGCCCCTGGCGCTTGCCCTGCTGTGGCAAGGGAGCACCCATTTGCTTGAATTTTGAAACTCAGGCGTTTCTGAGTGAGAAACTTGACCCGGGCGACGTCCCAGTTCCCTTGAGCACGCCCTCTCCCCAGGTGCGGTCGTCGGTGGCCGTGGGCACGCCGGACTACATCTCGCCGGAGATTCTGCAGGCCATGGAGGACGGCATGGGCAAGTACGGCCCCGAGTGCGACTGGTGGTCGCTGGGCGTCTGCATGTACGAGATGCTTTACGGGGAAACGCCCTTCTACGCGGAGTCGCTTGTGGAGACCTACGGAAAGATCATGAACCACGAAGTAAGCGTGCCCTTCCTCACCCCCTGTCCGTGCTGAGGCCCAGCGCAGCCGCGGGGGCGCTCCGTGTGAAGCTGTGGGTCGTTGGGGAAGAGGCGGGGGGCGGTGAGCTGGGGGGGCCGACGGGAGCGGGGAGATTCAGGAGAGGGTAGCGGTGGACTTGGCTCAGGCTGACACAGCAGGTGCAGGCGGGGCTTCAAGGACGGTCCGCGTTCTGGGGGCGAGGATGGTGTTCGTCAGGTCAGAATCCCTGCAGCACACGATGCGGCGCGTGGTGGCCGTGCCGTGTCCCCGGGGCGCCAGCGGAAAGGACCCGGGCAGCCTGACCGGGGTCTGGGTTCGCCACGCAGATCAGCACGGATCCAGGCCGTTTCCCAGAACCAGTTGTCAGTCACATCTCATCGGAGGAGTCTCTAGCCCAGTGATGGCGAACCTTTTGAGCTCGGCGTGTCAGCATTTTGAAAAACCCTAACTTAACTCTGGTGCCGTGTCACATAGAGAAATTTTTTGATATTTGCAACCATAGTAAAACAAAGACTTATATTTTTGATATTTATTTTACATGTTTAAATGCCATTTAACAAAGAAAAATCAACCAAAAAAGTGAGTTCATGTGTCACCTCTGACACGCGTGTCATAGGTTCGCCATCACTGCTCTAGTCCCTTCTCCACCCCTTCGCTCCTCCCTGGATCCTCTTCCCTCTCCCAGCCGCTGCCTTCTCTCGGTTTCCTTCGTTTGCTTGTTTTTATTTTCTTTTCCGACTAATGTTTTTGTCATCTGTTACTTTTCTTTATATTTTTTAGTCAAATATTTCTTTCTAATGCCCATTTCACCCTCTGCGCTCTCACACGCTCACACACTCACATGATCACATTCCCGAAACAGCTCCCGGGGGCTGGTCTGTACTCGTGGGGAACGGTCTTCTAATGACTCAAAGCAAGGGGTCCTTTTAACAAACACTTTTTTCAAAGTAGAAATACATTTTTCACTTGTAAATTAGGTTATACTCACTATAAAACCATCAGACGATGCCATGCACACAGTACCCACCCGCTCCTCAGCGTGGGCGCAGTGCCGTGCGGGCTCTGTGTGCCTCCAGGTGTGTGGTCCTCACAGCAGCCCGGGGACTGGCTGTTGTCCCTTTTCATGAGTCACAGGTGACCTGAGACAGCCGTGGTGGCTGGCATGCAGGCCCCTGTGAGAAGGGGAATGCCGCAGGGGTGGCCCGGCGCCCTCTGGCAGGCCTGCCGCTGTCCCCCCACACGTGCGTGAACACTCACCGCTGTTCCAGTTCCCAGGAGGGTGTTGGCACCCGGCCCCGATAAAGCCGGCACGGCCATGCTCACTCCCCTGAGCTGTCGTTAGCGGCCGTCTGCGCCGAGTTTGTTGACAGATGCGTGCTCTGCCGTGCCTCCCCGAGCGCCCCATCATGCACCCACTTACCCCCACCCAGGAGCGGTTCCAGTTCCCGTCCCACGTCACAGATGTGTCTGAGGAGGCGAAGGACCTCATGCAGAGGCTGATCTGCAGCAGGGAGCGCCGGCTGGGCCAGAATGGGATCGAGGACTTCAAAAAGCACCCCTTCTTCCAAGGGCTGAACTGGGAAAACATACGGAATCTGGAAGCACCTTACATTCCCGACGTGAGCAGTCCTTCTGACACGTCCAACTTCGACGTGGACGACGATGTGCTGAGGAACATCGTGAGTGTGGGCTCTGCGTGTGGGCGTGTGCAGCGGTCCGCTTGCTCGGGGAGGGGCTCGCAGGTCCACAGGGGAGGGGCTCACAGGTGGGAGGGCTCACAGGACCACAGGTGGATGGACTCGCAGGGCTTGTGTCCAGACAGAAGTCGTGCAGCTGCGCTGGTTTTTGAAAGGTTGGGCAGGAGTCTCAAGGACAGCGCCTTCTAGCTTGGGCCTTATTGTCCCTTTTTAAAATAATGGATTACAGTTGGAGTGGAAGCGAGTTAAATAGCTGTTTGTCTTAGCGTTCATCAGAAACTCTTACCTTGGTTTTTATGGCAGTTTTTATGTTTTCAAAGCAGGTAGCCTCCATTGTCATATTAGAGGTCCCCCGAGGCCCCTCACCTCTTCCAGCCTAAACCCCCGCAGCCTCTGGCTCCCCCCCTCCACCACCCCTGACCCTGGGGCACGTGGCCATGGCGTCTGCTTCTCAGCAGCACTCGGGCCACAGGCTGACTTCCAGGTCGGATCCTGCCCTGGGACCCTCCGGGGTCTGAGCTGGTCGACAGGCCGGGTTCTGCTCACACGCTGCACAGTTGGTTTGGTCTCGTCAAGCCCAGCCTCTTACTCTCTGTCCGCTGTGTCCCGGTTTGGGGACAGTAGCGGTCTAACCAAGGAAAGGGCGAGTTGGGATGCTCCTCAGTTTACCAGTCACAGCTGCCTTCAGAGCACAGCTAGGAGACGGCGAGAGGCACCGGCACTGCTGAGCTCGCACCGCAGCTCCCAGATAAGTCGTCGCTGCGGTTTTATTTTGAATAAAGAAGCATTGTCAGGCTGAAGATAGGGCTGTAACTAGTGCTCACCTAAGATAGTCTGCCTTTGGGTCAGACCTCCACTCTGCCTCCGGCCTGATTCAGGCCAAGAACTGCAGCCTCTGCCCCAAGTCCCTGGGCGGCCCTGTCCCCTCTGCTCAGGATCATGTTGAGCAAGATGCGATGCCGTGGCTTTAAAAGTGGAAGTTACTGGCCTGGTCTGAGTTTGGCCTGTGCCATTATCACCATCAAAAGGAGTGTGTCTACCCTCCTAACTGTGGTACATCAGACGAACCAGGAGTGGAAATGGCCCTGCCAGTGGCCAGCCGTGCAGGGGACCCCAGCAGTCACCCTGGGCAGGCCGCAAGCTCCCCCCACTGCACCTGTGTGCTCCCCTTCCCAGTGAGCGCACGCTCACTGTGCCAAGCACACCATCACTGTGCCATGCATGCTCTCATGGTGCCATACGCGCTGCCATACGTGCTCTCATGGTGCCATGTGTGCTCTCATGGTGCCATACGTGCTCTCATGGTGCCATACGTGCTCTCATGGTGCCATATGTGCTCTCATGGTGCCATACGTGCTCTCACGGCGCCATGTGCGCTCTCACGGTGCCATGCGCGCTGCCATACGTGCTCTCATGGTGCCATACGTGCTCTCACGGCGCCATGCATGCTCTCATGGTGCCATACGCGCTGCCATACGTGCTCTCATGGTGCCATACGTGCTCTCACGGTGCCATATGTGCTCTCATGATGCCATACATGCTCTCACGGCGCCATGCGTGCTCTCATGGTGCCATACGCACTGCCATACGTGCTCTCATGGTGCCATGCGTGCTCTCACGGTGCCATATGTGCTCTCACGGTGTCATACGTGCTCTCATGGTGCCATACGTGCTCTCACGGTGCCATACGTGCTCTCACGGTGCCATACGTGCTCTCATGGTGCCATACGTGCTCTCATGGTGCCATACGTGCTCTCACGGTGCCATACGTGCTCTCATGGTGCCATACGTGCTCTCACGGCGCCATGCGCGCTCTCATGGTGCCATACGTGCTCTCACGGTGCCATACGTGCTCTCACGGTGCCATACGTGCTCTCACGGCACCATACGTGCTCTCGTGCAGGAGATGCTGCCTCCTGGCTCTCACACGGGTTTCTCCGGGCTGCACTTGCCGTTCATCGGTTTCACGTTCACCACGGAAAGGTACGTGTGGTTCTGCTGTTCCCAATGTGAGGCTCTGCTCTGCGCAGTGCGTGTGTCGGGGCGCTGGGTGCCCCCTTAGGGGAGGCATGGGGGGGGTTCTGTCCTTTAAAAATGCGCCCCCGGTCACTGCATGAGCTGACGCAGCAGGTCAGACTCTTCCGAAGAGCCTGGAAGGAAGTGACTTAGCACCTTCTTGGTGCCTGAGGTGGGGTGGCCCCAGGCTGCCGACTGCTGACCTGCCCTGGAGGCCACAGCACTGGTGCCATGCGGTCCAGTGGCACCTCGGTGGCAGCCACACGCTCGGGCCAGAGCCGTCTTTCATTAGGACACTCTGGCCTTTCAGGGACGCCCGGAGCCCAGCTTCCTTTAGCCGGGCTGGAGCACACTCCCTGCAGAGCGAGAGCCACGCCCACGTGGGCCTCCAGCCCCGCGCGCCAGCCACCGTGTGTGCTTCTGTGGGTGTCTGTCTCGAACGGGCCTCTCGAAAGTCATGTCTCCCTCCCTCTGAAAAGGACACTGGGCAAGAGGAGAGGGGTTAGGGCGACGGCATCAGGTGCAGCTGCCACGGGGTCTGCAGGGAGCTCACGCTCGGCTCCTGGCGGTTCCCAGGGGCTGGGGCCTGAGCTGACGTGAGCGCTCAGGAGAGGCTGCTCGCTGCGCGGTGCTCGCAGTGCCTGAACAGCAGCTGAGCGCCAGAGGCGGCTGCTGCCTCCCGCCCTCACGGGTGGCCCAGGACGGGGCATGTTGCTTTCCTGTCTGTCCCAGGTGCAGGGCTTGCCACCTGCCAGGTGCCTCCAGCTCACCAGGTGCCGGTCAAGCCTGTGGCCTCAGGCTCGGAGGCTGTAGTTTGGCGGGTTGGACCCTGGGATGCACACTCCCCCAGGACACACCCCCCTGGACATACACCCCCTCCCAAAATGGCCAAATTCTTCTATC